GTATGCCCACACATCTCTACATACATGCTGATTTTCAATAATATGCCTCAATTAATACTGATAACAATTTTGTAATAATGAATAATAATAGCAATAATAGCAGCTAACAAAATAAAAATAATAAGAGTAACAATAAGGAGGAGACAAAGGAGGAAAAAGGGAAGGAAAAGGAAGAGGAGGAGACAAAGAAGCATATATATGTGTGTGTGTGTATATGTGTGTGTATATATATATATATATATACACATATACGTATATATAAAGACAGAGACAGAGAGAGAGCGTGTGTGTATACTTTTAGGGTTTGCAAAGCACCTTACAAATATAATCCCACTTGACCCTCTATCTCCCAACATTTGTGGGAGATAGATTATCATCCCCTTTTTTACAGATGAAGGAACTAAGGTGAATTGGTTAAGTAGCTTGCTTAGCATCAGATAACAGAATTTGAACTCAGATCTTCTTGAGTTCTATCCACTATGCTGCCTGCTCACAACTGCCCAAGGGGTAGGTGCTATTATTACCCCCCTTTTACAAACTTGGAAAGTGAAGCTGAAAGATGAAATGGGACTTTGCGCAGGGTCCCATGGGCAAAGAGCCTTGCCCTGGCAGTCTGAAAACCAACACAATCTCCCCTCCCTCTGATCCTAAGATGACTCTCTAGTCATTTTTCTGTCCTCTAGCAGCCTCAAAGAATCATAGATCTATAGCCCAAAGGCACCTCTGAGGCAATGCAGTCTAATATGTTAATTTTACAAATGAGGAAACTGAGTCCCAGAGAGACAAAGGCCAATGTCACCTAGTTAGTAAACATGAGAGACAGTCCTCAGACTCCAAAGCCAAAGCTCATCCCACTTTACCATGTGAAAATGGATACATCCTGCTGACGGACTGGAGTATTTGGAATCACTGACCTATACAAACCATCCGTGATACCTGGGATGGAGCCCTTCTCCCCTTCTAAATCTGAGAGCCCCTAACTTCATTCAAGGCTCAACTTAAATCCAAGCTCCTTGGCTTGACCAATCCCAATCCCCCTTTCCTAGTATCCTTTCCACCAAAATCATTTGCATTTACTTTGTGGGTGTTTTGCATCTCTCTAACAGAATGGAAGTTCCCTGACAGCAGGGGATGAGTTGTTGTCTTTGTATTATCAGTGCCTGGCACAAAATAGACTCCAAATAAATGTTTATGGGTTGCAGTAATCTCAGAGTTGGAAGGTACCTCAGAGGTTAGAAGTCTAAGCCCCACCCAGTCTACGAGGGACCTCTGTAACCTGCCAGCAAATATAGGACCAATTGACAACATTCTTGGCCTACTACCTCTGTTGTAATACTCTAGTGACAGAGAACTCACTACCGCACAAAATTACTTGTTCCACCATGATTCTTTTTCCTTCTTATTCTGATCTGAAACCTACCTTCTGTGTTTTTTTTCATCCTTCTTTTTTGAAGAGGGCCAATGACATCATGGAGAGTTGTCTTGACTTGCACACAAAATGGATTTAAGTGAGGCAGGGACAAAAGTCAGGATGACTGGTGATGGCCTGGGATACAGTGGATGGCTTTGGCAGCTTCCGCGGCTGACCAAGCTCTAAGTTCTCTTGGAACAAATTGTTGTCATCCACCCATTGTGCTGGTGGAAGTCTTCACATGCTCGGGGTAGATATCCCTCTAAGTCACTGATGGGTTTGAGGCCCGTTGGTTACTGTCAACCTGGGTTAGCCCATCTGGCTGAGATGGTACCAGGGTGTGGCCGCTGCACATGCTACAGCTTCTTGGAGCCTCTGCCCAACAATGTGGTAGTCTAAACTCTGGGTATCACAAAGAACAGATCTAATCCTTCCCATGCCTAGACCCAGGCATCTTCCTCACTTTCTAGCTTCCAAATCAATCTCCTTCCCTCTTTTAGCTCTTCTTTATATTTCATGATCCAGAATTAGAATATAAGCTCCTTGAGGGTAGGGATGTTCTTGCTTGCTTGTATTGTTAAATCCTCTAAGCTTAGTGTACTGCTCAATACAGGGTAAGTACTTAATAAATATTCTCTCTCTCTCTCTCTCTCTCTCTCTCTCTCTTTTCCTTCCTCCCTCCCTCCTTCCCTCCTTCCCTCCCTGCCATCCTTCTTCCATGTGACAACCCACCAGGAATTTCAAAAACTGAACATTCCTCCACTCTACCCCCTGCAAGTGTTCTCTTCTCCAGGCTAATTTATTCAGTTTTGCTCCTACAGAATAATAGACCTCCTAGAACGTCACCAACTCCCAGGCATTCAATCGTGTGTATTTTCCCCTCTGAGCTTGGTCTCAACTCTGTTTCCTGGTAGAACCAATGAAATTAAACAGACTTGTAAAAAATGTCCCCACACTCTACATATTCATTTTCTCTTGATGTAAGCAGATTCTTTGCTTCTTATTTATGGCTTCACCTGCCTTGAAATGGAAAATTTGAGGGTGTCAATAAATGGACTGTCAAGTTGTTATGTTTAACTACAGAAACGGCAACGTCTCCATGGGCCATCTTGGAAATGCAGGGAGATTGGCAGCACGAGTTGTGGGACCTGGAGTGGTATGCTTCTGCCTCTTCCAATAAACACACAGACTTGCTGCTGAGTCCTTTCACAGGAAGAGGGAGGTAGCAGGGTTTATTATGTGGGTTTATAACCTTTCCCTATACCATGGACCTCTCTTTGGTCCTCTGGCCACTTCTCAAAATCATATTTTTATTGGTGCAAAATAAAATACATAAGAATAGCACCCCCCCAAAAAACCTCACACCTATCCTATTCTCTATCCTAGTTCACACTCCCATAAAATCTATCCATGAATCCCTTGAGAGTTCATGGACCCCAGGTCAAGAATCCCTGGTATAATGGGGGGAAATTGATGTGGAATAGCTGATTCAAACGCCAGTCCTGTCACTTCCTGGGCAAATCATTTAACTTGTCCGGGCCTCAGATTATTCATCTGAAAAATGATTGTGTAGCGCTCAATGAGTAAATCCCTCCCCCCACGCAGCTCCACAAATACACCATCCCATGATTTATAAGGGGCAGCTGGGTAGTGCAGTGGATAGAGTACTGGGCCTGAAGTCAGGAAAATCTGGGTTCAAATTCAGCCTCTGACACTTACTAGCTGTGTGACCCTGGGCAAGTCATTTAACCCCCTATCTGTCTTAGTTCCTCATCTGTAAAATAGGACTCACTGAAGGTCATTCCACTGGTTTCTTTGCCAAGAAAACCCCGTGGACTTAGTTGGACATGTCTGGATGACTGAACAAGAAAATGATTTCTAATCTTAATTGAGCATTCTAGTAGTGAGTTATTCTATCAGCCCCAATCACTTAGCCTGGTGGTCAAATAGTACAGAGGACCATGCCCCACTGCAGCATGAAGGAAAATGGCCAAGTTGTAGAAGCGATAGGCTGCCCCCTTGAAAATCACCCTACTTAACTGGGTGGGCAAGTAATTGTGACTTTGGTGGAATGGAGCTAGATTAGAGATGGCTTTTGATGGCAGATCAAGGCATTCACATTCGATCCTAGAGGCAATAGTGAGCCGACAAGGGCTTCGCAGGAGGGGAGTAACCTGGTCAGATCTCTGCACTAGGAGGATTACTGGGTAGCTGTGAAAGGATGGATGGAAAGAGGCAACCGAGGAGACTGCAGAGGTGGAGAGGTCACTAAGGAGGCCTGCCACGAGTGGGCAGTGCACACACACACACACACACACACACACACACACACACACAGAGGAAGGAGATCAATAAAGAAGCTTCCTTACTGATCTCCCCACTTCTACTGTCTCCTTTAATCACATATACATACACATGTATGCATGTATATGACACACACAGATACCCACACATATGAACAGGTACATCCCAGATATGCATGTGTATGGGGCAGCTAGGTGGCACAGAGGATAGAGCACCGGCCCTGGATTCGGGAGGACCTGAGTTCAAATCCAGCCTCAGACACGTAACACTTACTAGCTGTGTGACCCTGGGCAAGTCACTTAACCCCACTGCCTAGCCAAAAACAAACAAACAAACAAAAAAACAAATATGCATGTGTATATTCACAAGTGTATATGTACGCACATGCATGGTATGTATACATATACATGTGTGTATTGTACACGTGTATGCATATAAGTATATGGTTAGATACAGGAGTGTCTTAACAGCAACAATGAAATAATAAAGATAATGACAATAACAACATTTATATAGCACTTTAGGAAAACACTCCTTCTCTCTCCCTCCATCTCTCTCTCCCTCTCTACACATATGTATGTATATAATATATATACACACATACATATATACAATATTCATACATACATATATGTACATACATATACATGCACACACACACACTATATATATATATATATATATATATATATATATATATATATATATTTATATGGCAAACCACTCCAGTGTTTTTGACAAGAAAACCCCAAATGGGCTCACAAAGAGCTGGACATAACGGAACAACTCTATATCTATAGATATCTCTCTATATAGATACACGCACACATTCATATATATGTATATGCATGTATATGTGTATGTGTGTATGTATTTCAGTGAATATACACATGTATATGCGTGTGTTTTCCTAAAGTGCTATGTAAATATGTGTGTGAGTATTTTCTCCTTTGATTCTCACAACAACCCAAGTAAAATAATACTATCATGTACGCCCGTTTCCTCATTTGACAGATCAGAAGACAGACTGACAAAGGTTCAGGAGCTTGCTCACACTCACAAAGTAGGTGACCGAGGCAGGGTTCCCGCTGAGGTCTCCTGGACCCCCTAATTCCAGTGCTCTCCCACTAAGCTACCCAAGCTGCCATAAGACATCTTTGTTTTGAAGAGAAGGAAAAGGATGGAGAGAAGAAGGTTGTAGTATCAGCTCTAATATTTCTTACACCTCTCCCCTCTGGGTGGAGCCCAAATCTGCTTTTCTTTCTCCCTGGCCCCACCCCCTCACCTTCGAAGCTTCCAGCAAAGAGGTAAATCCAGGTGACTGCTGGGATGAAGAGAACCGTCAGAGAGGCAGCCAGGAATTTCCGTCTCCCTCTGCAGATGCCCAGCATCCTCTTGGCAGTGGCAAGCTCTACCCACGGCGCCGTTCCTATGTTGGGATCGTAGAGTCCCCAGCGTCCCTCATATTACTTTCTGAAAGGGAGAGAAAGGAGAAACAGGTCAGGCATCATCGGCATGGTCTTCTGTAACCCGCGTCCAGACATCCCCAAAGGAGTTTCTCTACTCTCTACCTATTTCCTTCTGGCTGCGTCTTCCAGTGAATACGGCGCATTCATTCAGAGCCCAGCAGGAGTGGTAAAAGGGGAAAAGAAAGGCTGACATTTGTACAGTGCTCTGAGACTCATAAAGCCTTTCATACACATTATCTTGTTTTGATTCCAACAACTTTGTGGTATGGGTACTACAGGAAATATTCAAGCTACGGTTACCATTTGTCACATCTGGTACAAGTTCCAAAACACACCAGGTCCATAGCACAAAGAGCATCCGACCGTGGGTCCCAGGGAACAGAGTCTCCTCCATATCTTAGCTGATTCATTGTGGGGGGAAACAGAAGTAAAGCTCATTTGGGATACAGCAGCTGGGGGTGGGGGCAGAGGAGGTGGGGGTGGGGGCAGGAACTGCACTCACCATCTGGGAACTTCCTATTTTAACTAATGATTCTGAGTTATCAGATCCTCAGCTCAGTTGATTCTATACTGCTACACTTAAGAGTTGTCAGCACCGAGTAAAGAATAGCACTCTAGGGCAAATTGTCAGTTGCCATACCCTAGGTACAGCTCTAGGTATTATTAACCCAGATTTTACAAATGAAGAGTATAAGGACACTCAACCAGGCTCTAGTATAACAGGGCTTAACAACTTCAGCAACTAGGTGGCACAATAGATAGAGCAACAGCCCTGGGAGTAGGAAGATCTGATTTCAAATCTGGTCTTGGACACTTACTAGCTATGTGACCCTGGGCAAGTCACCTAATTCTGTTTGCCTCAGTTTCGTCATCTGTAAAATGACCTGGAGAAGGAAATGACAAACAACTCACTCTAGTATCTCTGCCAAGAAAACTCTAAATAGTGTCGTGAAGGGCTGGACAGGACTCAATGGCAAATGGTTGCCATTTGCATGACAAAAATGCTCTAAGGTTTCCAAAGTGCTAGATACATATACATTAACTCATTGGATCCTCACGCTGAACCCTATGAGTTAGGGGATATTAGGAGTCCCATTTTACAGATAGACTGAGAGAAGGTCACATAAGACAGCAAGGTCCCTAAGACAGGATTAGTAAGATTTACTAAGATTAAAATAAGTTTACTAAGAGCACAGGTCTTCCAAACTATAAGCCCAACACTATCAATTACATCATATTTGCTATTGATTCTCAAGAGCTGAGACCATTCTTGATTATGTCTCTGTATCCCTAGTACCTGTAACAGGGTTTGTATAGTTTTATGCTATGGAGATAGAGATAATGTATATCTATTCTTGTATATATACATACACACAATGCACATACATATCAGGTATACTCACGTATAGTTTTACATGCAAACCTGGTATATGTGCATATTTAACATATATACTATATGCACATATGTATAGGTATGTATCAGGTACATACCTATATAGATATTATATATATACACATACGTGTGTATGTATTCTAATCATTCATTAAATTCTCTTCACTCCTCAATACAATAGCAGAGATATCATGACTTCTCACTTACAGATCTCCCCGCGTGCCCTGCCCAGGGAAGGGCCTCAGTAGTTAGCTTTTGGTTTTTTTTCCTGTTTCCCTCATGAACTCTAAGAAGCCTCAAGATGGCAGCTGAGCTATTCTGTTTCCTTTGAGGGCACTGTACCAACATCATCCCGGGAGGA